TGAAATAAAACACGTTTATTTAAGTAAAAAGAGATAATGACCCATATTTGTAATATTGGCTCTCAGAGTCTATAAATGCTTAATTAGTCGTTTTTTTATTTGGAGTTTTCTATACTGAAGTTGAGAAAATTAAGTGTAGGACTTGTTAGAATGTGAAAATTAAGCCACGGATTCACTAAATTAAGTGCATAAAACACAACACACATTCTGTGTAGGGGTAGGGGGATTCAGTAGAAATCTGTAAAACCATTTCACGGCGGCGGTCTGACTTTTCGTGAGGACTTTTATGAAAAAAACTGTTGAGTGTTGAAATATTTGTTTTCCAATTATTTATGGGAGTGGGTGAGGCAAATGTATGAGATAAATTGTAACACCATATAGACCCCTACTCCATGACGACAGAACAAGTAACACGTCTTAATGCACGATCATTACCAGAATAATCTATTTCATTGTTATTTTTTGCACACCTCACTGCGAAAGTTTGCCAAGGAATATACCACTCAGTAGACGTTTTTAGCGTTGCTATGGTAACGGCGCCATGGTAGTCCAAACAAACCACCGTGAAAACAAATGGATGGTTTAACGCCGGTCGCCCCTTAGGCTATACTCACGTGCAGTGTAGACTAGGAGCACTAAGTGATATCTCTCTTGTGTTATAGTGGGGGGGGGGGTGCGTTATTTTATGCGGTGGGGGGAGGGGGCGGTATTTTATGTAGGATGAGCCACGAGCTCTAGCTTGCTTAGCTTTAAGTTATATTCGGCTCCGTGTCCTTACGTTTTAAATCTTATAGACGAGCTATATATAACAGCCACCCACCATACAGACACCAGGCCGACCAACTCCATCCACAGTCATACACATACACCCCCACCACACATACACCCACACACCCACCTACACCCACACACCCACCTACGACACACATACACCACCCACCTACCACCCAGACACACACCTATATACATCACACAAAAATACACCCACCACACACTCACATACCCACTCATCCCACATCCACACAAAACCTCACACACACCACACAGATACACCACCCACCTACCACCCAGACACACCTATATACACCACACAAATGCACCCACCATACACTCACATACCCACTCATCCCACAGCCACACACAACCTCACACACACAGACCACCCCCGCCAATCACCGCAGTAGGTCTGCCACGAGCCTCAGGTAAACCAGGAGACACCTGTCGTGTTTTAACGTTGAAATCAATGTTCTCCCAATTATTTACCTGTCCTGATAACCCCACGCACCTGAGACCTCTGGCCAGGAACCAGAACAGAATCCCTGCAGGAATTCGCCGTACCAGACCGTACCACACCGTACAACACCGTACCAGACCATGCCAGACCCTCGCAGGCCGGCCATTCCATTTCATGTCCAGGCAAATTCACCACACGCACAGACACCAGAAAATTGGATTTTTTAAAATGCCAGATGGTCCGTACATTATCTGTGCTGCTGATGCTCATTAAGTTAAAAAGCGCTAATGTTCAAACCAGCTCACTTAATTAGCACAAGCGTTGATGGGTTTTTATATTTCGTTACCATTAGCAATCTTCACCGCCAACCATATCGACCTCCGTTAACTTTCTCTACACTAACCATCTTTACTATCTCTGCCATCGGTCATCACCGTAACACCAACACCATCATATTAGGAGCTACCGTTGACGAGCAAGCCATTTTCTCACCAACGCATCATACTACAAACCAATTCTGCTATGAACCTACTATTTCTCCTCTATCGTTAACATCCCAATTACAACAATGCTTTCAACCCTACCTACGTACAACCCTACCTACGTACAACCCTACCTACGTACAACCCTACCTACGTACAACCCTACCTACGTACAACCCTACCTACGTACAACCATACCTACGTACAACCCTACCTACGTACAACCCTACCTACGTACAACCCTACCTACGTACAACCCTACCTACGTACAACCCTACCTTTCTACAAATTCCCTATCCCACAATCCTCCCTACCACACAGCACCCCCTACTGCGAAACCTATCTACATGATATCACAAACCACTGTTAAAATCAGAACCCTTCTTACTTCACAACCCTCTTACGTCACAGCGCTACCTATGTAACAACCATCCCTACATCTGACACTATGTTGGTCAGAACTCTCCAAATAATCTCCAACTTACAAAATCAACACCACCACTTCCCCTAACCCACACCCTAACCCTAACCCTAACCCCTACCCAAACCCTAACACCCACCATAAACACCACTTTAACTAACACCTAAACTCCGACACTAACGCCCAACCAAACCCCCACCCTAACCCTTACCTTAACCCTCATATTAACACCCTACCCACCACCCAACTCACAACCCCAACCACCCTTACTACCACCCTAGCCCCTACCCTTTCGCCAGCCCTTCCGTTACTCACAATTATTTTTTTTATTAAAACATGTCTAAACTTTAAAGAACAATTCCCCCCCCCCATCCCCACTCACAACTCCAAAACTTCTCATCCAATCAAAGACAGCTCTCCCAACACGTGACCTTATTCCCTGACATTTCTCCTCACCCCCCCCCCCCCCACCCCCTATCAGTCGTCACCATCTAATTATTTCCCCAGCATCTAAGACACATCTACCTCTACTCACCTTTTCAGTTTTCATCGTCAGCAAATTTGTCAGGTCTCGGGATCATAACTGACGTGAACTTCCAATTTGAAACAGCCGAATACAATCATGGGTTTAACTTGGGGCTGAATGTAAAGCTATCTATTCAAAGTACAGATTATTATCGTCCCTTCCAAATTATAACTACTATAACCGTCATTCAATTCGTCACTATACCACCCCCTTCCTCCACCCTCCCAAAAACGTAAATGTAACATTTTTCGTAATAAGTAGGCCTACTTAAGCTTTCAGCCTGTATTTCTTGTTCAAATAATTTACCTTTACGTTTATATTTGTTGCGGTTGTTTCCCTTAGGCCATTACTCAACATTCTAAGTACAATTTCGTTGTTAACTTAGCAAGTAAAACCATGATAATTATCGCTCTGTTCGTTGATATATGTGCAATTTTGATATGAAAAAGATACATTCGTGAATTAAGAAACATCTATCTTACAAATATTTATTATACTACAGATTTAGAATGTCAAGACGATTTCTAATAGCTCAAAAAATGAAAGTTGTTTATCTATCTATATACTACTAAAAGTCAAGTTTGTTTACATGTTTGAATATTTATTTTTTTGTTTGTTTTTTTGTTTGTTTGTTTGTTTGCCTGATCGACTATTGTGATATGTTTGACTCTATCTGGAGAGCTGTAAAATAGTATGTAGGTAGAGAATAATTTTTTAATGCAGACAGACTGTTAATCACAAATTTATTTAAAGACGTTAATTAATTTATTGATTTATTCATAGTTAAATTAACCGTATTTTTTTAAAAATGTTAATACTTTGAATAAACTTTGTGGGGATAGTGACGTCCCTTGATGTGTTTACTTTTTGGTTCAATAAAAATGGCGGACTCATCATAGACTTTGTGGCCCATTCAAAAGTTTAACGCGTTACAAAGCTAATTTTCTGCCGGCTATAACTTAAACAATACGTCCGTTTGCTGTATTTATTACGTTCCAACACTTATATCAATTTTCAACTGTCTTTTTCATTTAGTTTTACGATAAATTTCTCTAGATCTAAAGATCAGCTGTCGAAGGGAAGTTATGAATCTAGCCTAGATCTAGCCTAGATCTAGATTCTAGGTCACTACAAGACTCAGTGTAAATTCTAGATCTAGACTTAATGTAAATTCTACATCTAGAATCTATTTCAGGCCTTAATACATCTAGAATCTATTTCAGGCCTTAATTATTTTATATAAATCTTTGTTTGGCTAATTTAAGATTAAATTTAATTTGAAAGTTACTACTACTAGATCTATGCGCGGAGACTCAAAAGTATAGTATAAAAATTCATTTGTGACGTCACGAGTAAATAGCTAAGTTGGTAGCGTAGCCCGCTCTCATGTGGGTGGCACAGGTTCTAGACCAACATGTCAATGATATTTTTTTTTCAATATTTTTTTTTTTTAGATGTGAATGATAAAGTTGCCTATCTGAACTTGGCAGGATACAGGGCAGGTGAAGTAGAGTTCATCTGTTTCTTTGTCCTAAGCATATGAAAGGGGAAGGGGAGGCGGGGGGAGGTGGAGGGGGGAAGGGGGGGGGGGCGGGGGGACATATGTTGGGGCGCCAAAATGGTTTGGAAAAATAAATTGAAAGGTTGAGGGGGGTGCAAATCCAAAGTTTGAGGGGGGGGGGGGTTGAAAATCGAAATCTTGGGGGGGGGGGGTTAAAATCGAAAAGTTTGTCCCCGGGCGCCGGGAAGGGTCGCTATGCCTCTGAGTGACAGACGTGATGTTTTTTTATGGATGACCCCCGAAACCCACAGTTATCCAACGGATGACGGGTATTCTAGTTCTATTGAAAACTCATTTTCTACATGCATTCAGTACAACTTAAAATCCGGCGCTTAATTTCCACTTAAACTTTAGCACGACCGATGTTTGAGTGTATAAAAGCTATATCTCAACTGCTACAAAATAATACTATTACTATATGGGTCTATATTCTACTTATAACAAAATTTTTATTTAAAAGCAACACCGAATTATGGTTGTAAATGTAATGCTTTTTTTATTTTATTTTATGGTAATTGTCATTAGATAGCTTAATTAAAACATGCATGTTCAGTAGAATTAATTAATGTTTTTTTTATTTGTTGTATGTTTCTAAATTCTGCCCTCTAACTAGGGTCCATGTATTATCAAAGTCTTATAGTGACTGTTTACAAGATGACAGTTTTTGACCTCTTTAGTTTGACCCAAATAACACGCATACTGTTGATCTTTTGACCTGATTAGCACCTGTTGATTACAGCACCTGTGAAGTGACCTAATTTTTTGTTTTGTTTCAGCCCACCGAACCACGTGTCCTGCGTCACTCGTTTCGTCTGTACCACTTTCGGCGTCCTCACCGGTGTTTCGTCTGCAAGCAGTTGGTGTATAACCAGGGGTCTGCTTGTCAAGGTAAGGTAGGGGTGGGGGTCAAGGTTAATGTGAGGGTGGGGCTGGGGAGTAAGGGGTCGTTTTGTCAAGGTAAGGTAGGGGTGGGGGGGTCAATGTAAATGTGAGGGTGGGGCTAGGTAGTCAGGTGTCTTCTTGTCAAGGTTCGCGGTCAGGGGGTCAAGTAATATGTGCGTGGGGAGTCAGGGGTCTGCTTGTCAAGGTAAGGTATGGGTGGGGGTAAAGGTTAATGTGAGGGTGGGGCTAGGTAGTCAGGGGTCTGCTTGTCAAGGTTGGGGGTCAGGGGGGGTCAAGGTTAATGTGAGGGTGGGGCTAGGTAGTCAGGGGTCTTCTTGTCAAGGTTGGGGTCAGGGGGGGGGGGGGGTCAAGTAATATGTGCGTGGGGAGTCAGGGCTCTTCTTGTTATGGTAAAGCAGGAGGGTTGGGGGTCAGGGGGGTCAATGTAAATGTGACAGTGTGGCTAGGTAGTCAGGGGTCTTCTTGTAAATGTAAGGCGGGAGGGTAGGCGGTGGGGGTTCAGGGGGTAAAGGTAAATGTGAGGGTGGGGCTAGGTAGTCAGGGGTCTTCTTGTCAATGTAAGGTGAGAGGGGAGGGGACCGGTGGGGGATCAAGTAATATGTGGGTGTGGAGTCAAGGGTCTGTTTGTCATGGTAAGACAGGAGGGTGGGGGGTGGGAGTCAAGGGTGTCAAAGAAAATATGGGGACTAAGGGGTCAGGGGTCTGCTTGTCAAGTTAAGACGGGAGTGTGGGTCAGGCAGGGGTTAGTTTGTCAAGGTAAATGGGGATTTGGGGTCAGGGGGTCTGCTTGTGAAAGTAAAATGTGAGGGTGGATTTGTCAGGGTTTGTTATCAAGGTAAGGTGGGGGAGTGGAAGTGTTGGTATTAGTGAGACGGTAGGGTGGGAAATGGGTCTGCATGTCCAAGTAGGGCGGGAGTGTGTAAGGTTAGTGTGTAAATGTGTGTGTGGGGGGGGGGGGGAGGGGGTGAGATTGTAGTGCCGCAAAGTGGGTTGTTTGGGGGGGGGTCTGATGTTGGCACTAACTGTAATCTCCACTCTATTTTCAGTGTGTCGGTACATATGTCACAGGAAATGTGAGCTTCAGGTAAGTCAGCGTGTTTGTTTACATGTCAGTGTGTTTGTTTACATGTGAGCGTGTTTACATGTCGGTGTGTTTGTTTACGTGTGTGTTTGTTTACATGTGAGAGTGTTTGTTTACATGTGTGTGTTTGTTTACGTACCGGTGTGTTTGTTTACATGTGAGTGTGTTTGTTTACATGTGTGTGTGTTTGTTTACACGAGAGTGTGTTTGTTTACATATCGTTGTGTTTGTTTACATGTCGGTGTGTTTTTTTATGTCGTGTTTATTTACATTTATCAGTGTGTTTTTTTATTCGTCTGTGTTTTTTAGTTAAATGTGTGTAATATTATCTCATTAAACTATGAACACAAACTGTTTTCTTAGGCACAGCAAAGTTATACTCACATTTAATGTAGCATTATCACACACCTTGCCTATCATTCTTTTTTACTTTCTCGTATATACGAAGTATAGAGAAAGTCTTGTAATCGTGCAAAAAAAAAAAAAATCGAGATTTTTACAAATCTCGACGTTTTACACCTCACTGATACGGAAAAACATAATTTTGCAATCTTGTCCGTATGTCTGTGTGTCTGTCTGTGTGTCTGTGTGTCTGTGTGTCTGTCTGTCCGTGTGTAAACACGATAACTTGAGTACCGTTACAGCTACGTTGATGAAATTTCATATATAAGTATTTTATCGAAATCGTAGATCCGTATCAACTTTTGAGCGATTTCCGATAACCGGAAGTGGTACTTTTCCTACTTTGAATTTTTCAAAAGCCTATAACTTGAGTACTGTTTCAGATCGATAAATGAAATTTCACATGTAAGTAAAAGATCTAGTTCTCTACCTTCTGTTAAATTTTGAGTAATTTCCGTTGACTGGAAGTAGTAATTTACGCTACTTCCGATTTCTCAAAAAACTAATGTAAATTTTAAAAGTACTAATAATATTGCGCACCATTATGCGCTTTTTTATTTGGCGTTCACTTGGTGTGCAATTAATTTGTCTACGAGATTTTATTCTATTTTTAAAACTTAAAGTATTTAAAATGGATAAAAAATCATGTCTATAGCTCGAGTTCCCATCCCCTGTTATTTTATATAAGAATATTCGAGAAAGTTTAGGGGAGATCACTCCCCGTTTATTACTTTCTCGTATATACGAAGTATAGAGAAAGTATTGTAATCGTGCACAAAAATCACTTGAAATTTTAACAATTTTCACCGTATTACACCTCAGTCCTTCATCACATCCGAAGTATAGAGGACTTATTTTAATCGGGCAAAAATTATCAATCCAGATTTATCAAAATTAAGAGGTTTTATGCGTAATCCAGTCTGAAAAACTGGGCTTTGCAATTCTGTCCGTATGTCTGTGTGTCTGTGTGTGTGTCCGTGTGTAAACACGATTACTTGAGTACCGTTATAGCTAGGTTGATGAAATTTCATATATAAGTATTTTATCAAAATCGTAGATCCGTATCAACTTTTGAGCGATTTCCGATAACCGGAAGTGGTACTTTTCCTACTTTGAATTTTTCAAAAGCCTATAACTTGAGTACTATTTCAGATAGATAAATGAAATTTCACATGTAAGTAAAAGATCTAATTCTCTACCTTCTGTTAAATTTTGAGTAATTTCCGTTGACCGGAAGTAGTAATTTACGCTACTTCCGATTTCTCAAAAAACTAATGTAAATTTTTAAAGTACTAATAATATTGCGCGCTATTGTGCACTTTTTTATTTGGCGTTCACTAGTTCACTTGGCGTGCAATTATTTTGTCTACGAGATTTTATTCTATTTTTAAAACTTTAAGTATTTAAAATGGATTAAAAATCATGTCAATAGCCCGAGTTCCCATCCCCTGTTGTTTTATATAAGAATATTCGAGAAAGTTTAGGGGAGATCACTCCCGGTTTATTACTATTTTAATTGTATTCTTTTTATTCAATGTTTAAATCCTAACATCTACGTCTGCAAGATTGCATTCATGGAAATACAAAATATGCTAAATATTTCGTAGAAAAGAAAACTGACCACTACAGGTGTTGCTAGTCGCTAAATCAAGTGTCCAATTAAAACATACTGAGTGTTAAAATACACTTAAATATTTGAAAAAGAACAAAACTATCACCCTAGAGAGTGTAGCGCATTTCAAAAGTGAATCTTCCGCTTCATAGTCCTTTGATCTCAGTAAAACCACGTTAAGACAACCACTTTACGGCATCCTCCGCATGAGAACCACTTCATGACAACCACTTTAAGACAACCACTTTTAGACAATCACATTTGGACAGTCACTTTTGGACAATCACTATTAAACAACCACTTTAAAAGATAACCACTTTTAAGATAACCACTTTTAAGACAACCACTTTTAAGACAACCACTTTAAGACAACCACATTTAAGACAACCACTTCATGACAACCACTTCACGATTATCTAAATTTGCGGTCGTCATGTCTGGACGGCGAGCCGTCCCGAGTGTCTTTGTTATCGCCCCTTATCGGCGATTGCGTCATCCGCTCGCGCAGTGGCCTGCTCGGATGAGCAGACGTGTGGGGTAACGGCCCGTCCAGGAATGAGGGGGGGGGGGGGGCGCGTTTGATTTGTTTGTCGATTGCGTGTACCAGATCGATTGAGGGAAAAAATTTATAAAAAAAATGACATTGATTTTTAAAAAGTTGGACTTGACAATTGTAACGTTTATTTATGCAGCTTTTATTGCAAGTTTTTGTTTTGAGTCATGTGGGTGGATGGGTTGGTCGTAGGTGGGTAGGTGGTTTGGTTTGTGGGTGGGTTGGTTGGTTGGTGGTGGGTGGGTGGGGTTGGTGGGTAGGTAGGTAATCCAATCTATCTTAGTCTACATTACATCCCCTTCCTAGTAACCAGACCTAATTACTTATAACACTAAATTAAATCGTCGTCTTAGTTTACCCATCTTATTTTGCAATTTTTCCCCCAAAAAGATAGCTTTGTCTTCTCTGATTCTAATTTGTGGAACAATCTTCCTAATAAAACTATATATACCTAAAAATATATTGAAAACTAAACTAGCAAAAAAAAAAAAAAAAACCACCCAATATTTCATGAGCTTCTAAACTGACTCAATGCAATATAATTTCTTCTACTATAGTATCATTTTTTCCATTGTGTATTATAACTATGTAATTTTATTTCTTTGTTTCAATGTTTAGTTGAATACTATGTTACTGCTGTGTGTTATCTATTTAATTGCTTTTTATCAACATGTAATTATGTCTTTAAAAAACGTTCACTGTGAAAACAGGCCTCCGTTATATTGTTGTTACCGTTATTAAATAAATCAAAGGTTATGGGATATAAAGCAGAATTAGAGTGTTTAGTGTTTAGTTTATTGAACTTTTCATCGGATCCATTAATTTTTGTTTTATAATTCTCTAGATCAGGGGTCGGCAACCTTTTGAAGCGGAAGAGCCAAAAGTTACATTTTTCAAAATTTCCCTGGTTTTAAAGAGCCACTAACATTGTTTTATTTCAAATATTTTTTTTTAGTAAGATTATTAGTATTTGTGCAAGGAGCTGGAGAGCCGCATCTTGATATCAAAAGAGCCGCATGCGGCTCGCGAGCCGCAGGTTGCCGACCCCTGCTCTAGATGTACTAACTCTAGTTGAGAATGTAAATTTTTATATATACAAGAAACACAATATTTTAAAATTAAATAGGCATTTGGAGACGTCCGCAACCAAGCTATTAATTACAAACAATAAGTCAACGCTTGCACCAGTACTAAATAACTAAGTAATTCAGCTAAAGCTTTCCAATGTAAAACCAGGGTGAAACTTTTATGCTAAAATTCAATAAGTATAACAGTTTTAAAATTATAATCAAACTCGTATTCCGCAGTTTGTTAGTTTTAATAATAAACAAAATGCCTGTTGTTATTTTTAAATATATTGAGTTTTGTTTTATTTTTGATAATCTGGAGCAAAATGAATGATTAATTCCCTTGGCAATGGTAAATACCATAAATAATAAATAAGTAAGGAATAAGATTTTTCGTGTTAAAAAACGGCAAACTGAGAAAAACAGCAAAAAGTAACTAAAAGCAGGTCACGAAAATACCATATCTGTGTAATTCGCGATTGTAAACTTTGGGTGTTTCCGAGATGATGGAAATTAAGATTATCAAATACATGAGAAATCCAGCTTTCCAATGATGCCAAATACAGTATGATGACGGGTATAAACATTTCGTAGAGAGGTTGTAAGATTGGGAAAAACAAATTATTTTTTAATTCATAGGGTCATACAAATAATATTTTAAACACTTTTTTTTCTCATTGAAGATACTATTTTCTTAATATAAAAATAAACAAAATTTCCAAAAGTGCAAGAAACTCATCATGAAAAAAAATCAGGTTTTTTTTATATTTTTTTTTATGAGCATGATATCACCTTAATGAATGTATGTACACATATCAATCGTGTGTATAAATGTATACACTTTAATATTCGTTTTATGCAGCCAATGTCTTTTTAAAAATAGAAGTAAAGAGTCTCTATGGCATGAACCGAATGTTGCAGCAAAAACATCTACTCGTCAATCTGTAGACATGTCTTGCAATAAATTTTAAAAGTTACACATGAATAGCAGCTGATTTTTGGATTCTCGTATTATTTATGAGATCAGTTATTAACGACTTAAATGTTCAGCTGTTTTTTTTAAATATTTTGTAATTAATTATTTATTTATTCTTGCATTGCCATAACTTCGAACTAGTGTTCTCCATAAATGTATCCGAAATATTTTTTTTTAAAATACCTATTCAAATGGAATACTTTTTACAACGTTACTTTTATCATAAGCTACTACAACCCTTCAAAATGAAATAATGATTTGAGAAAAAAATCTTATCTTTCATTGAAGACCGTTTTTTTTTTCTTCAAATTTACACGGGACAGCAAGCACATTTAAAGTTAAAAATAAAATAAATTGATGTTGAACTTCAGTATATTCACATTTCGGGATTCT